GAGTGTGAGACCAGCAGGCCCCAAGATGAATGAATGTCAGGGCACTCTCTGAGCTGCTTCACGACACCTCCTGTCCTTTGAGAAGCCTTGATGGCAGCTGCTCTTCTGAGCCCTGATGTCTGCCGTGGATGGGCATCACAGATAAGCAGTTTGTTTCACACAGGTGACTGGCCAGACGGTGATGGATCTGAAATGTTCATTGGATCTCGTGTGCAGACAGGGCTGGAGCAGCACTAACAACAACATGGGGATTAAAACTCTGTAGAAGAGTCACTCAGGCAATCTTTTATTTTGTCCTCAAAATACATAGGGTGAGACTGATAAACTGTATTAATGCTTACACATTATTGATAGCAGTAGGATGTAATAAAAAAAGGAAATGGTGGGTTTCTTGTGAAAACACAGAGCTGCTTTTGTGTTTTAAGTGTCAAAAAGTCATCCTGTTGGAGCTAGAAGTGAACTTTGCTATATACACACTTTGAAGCATATATTTTCTTATCTAAACATTTATCAGAGATCTCATCTATTCTCTCCTGCTGATGTCAGGGAGCTGATTTGTCCTTTTATTGGCCTAGTACCTGTGAGTGTCAAAGCAGCAAAACAAAGTATAAATAATACCCATTACATCCTCAAACTCTAAGTTGCACCAGAAGGGTTTTATTTTTGTATTACTTAGCTGTTGTTACTCTAAAATGTTCTCAGATAGGTATAAGTCCTGAAATTAACTTTCAGTGCTTTGCTATAGCTGTGTGCACACTTTTGGGGTGTTCCCTGCAAGGAGAATTATGCTAAACCCTGTACTGTTTCTTTGTCTTTCTGCTCTGTATGTACATATTGCTCCAGGGATGCCACTTCAGGGTGCTACAGAAGTAAGTAGGGAAATCACCTGTAGAAAACAAAGGTATAAATCCCTTTATTATCACCTTCTTTCTGTCCTACTTCCCACAATGTTGTTTCAGTTATCCTTGGATTTGTAACAAAATTTTCTGCCTCTGAACATTTTAATTTCTACTTTGCCTGATTTTTCTGATCACTTAACAGCCTTTATTTGTGAAAATATCTATGTGAGGGGAAGAAGTCTCTGTTTAGGAGAAATCCTGGGTGAAGGCAGTTGTTCCTAAGACTTTCTTAATGCTGGAAGGTCCTACAAAAAGCTGGCTTATGTTCAACAAAGACAGAAAGAGGCAGGGAGGGTGGCTACATCTTTAAGTTGTCTTGTGTGGGGCTTAGCCTTGAAGTTCCTTGCTGGCCTTGAGGGGAAGGATGTTTTCACAGTATCCTCTGGCTGTATCCACTGGGTTAAGAGTCTGGGCCTCTGGCACAGAAGCTATTCCCAGGGGATTGTTTCTTATTTCAAGGCCACATCCCCCTGACGGGACATCAGAACTAGGAAGCAAGAAAAATCTGAGCCCTGGAACTTGGCCAGGCACTTGTACTTGAGGTATTCTGTATTGCACTTAACCAAGAACTTTTTTTAAGCAGACTGGATATGATTATAAAGTCCAGAAAAAGGCCAAAAGCTAATTGTAAGTAGATGTGACTGTGAGATTATTCTGTTCTGAGAGACAAAGTTATGCCTAAAGTTACACCAGCTGCTTATGGACAACCATGGCAAGTTCTAGTCTGGTATCTGAAGTGCAAAGATGAAACTAATCTTACATTCTCTATTCCTGTCTCAAAGTCTGCCTTACCTCAAAGAAATGTTGTGATGAGATGGATGAAACTCTCCAGGAGCACTTGAAGGTGATCATGTGGTAATGACTGCTTCAGAAATATGTTCTGGCACAAATTTGCTTTAACTCTCCCATCCCATAACATAGAGTTGCTTCTTGACCTCTGAGAATGATACAGTCACTAGAATAAATGAGGATTTTCTCATGTCAAAGATGTTTCTCACCTGCAGTCACATCTTTCTCTTGAGAAATTCTGGGCTTGATGTGCACAGTGCAACAAATGTCTATTCAGTTACACAAGTTGGTGCAAGCTGTGCATACCTTAATTCCCAGGGTAATTTAGCAACTGTGCCACATGTGCTGGAGAAAATGAGAATGCATTATTAATTTCTTCCTTATGAGAACCCATGAGTTCATCTGCTTTGCTTGCAACACCTTCAGGATTCAGTAGTCTGGATACTCACTGTGCTTTGCACTTACACCTCCCTTTCTTACTGTACAGAAGTGGAGGATGAAGACTCAGACTGAATGGAAACACTGAACTCTGGATGCTGAATCCATCGTCTTGGTAACTACTCCCTGCCTTGGCTTTGTGAACTGTTTCAGACCTGAGTTGAACAGGGAGTGATCCTCAGATGTACCTGAACACCAGTCAGTCTGGAGGCAAGGGCCTGGATACAGTCAATGGTAGGTGTGAAGGATATCATCTGGTCAGAGTTCCTCTCCTTCCTCCTTTCTCTTCTGGTTCACCTATCCCCTACCTCCCCACCTTTTTATTTTCCTTCTCCTTAACTGCAAGACCTGTTTTATCTTTATGTTCAGCTTCTCCCACTTCTCTGTGGAAAGAAATGAGAACTTATAAAATAACAAGTGAAAAAGGCTTATGAAAGCTATTACACATCTTTGTAATTAAAGTTTGATTATTGTTTCAGTTGTGCCCTCATTAACAGGTATGTAAAAACAGATGGATGTGAACACAAGCAGACACAGAGCTCCCATTATTGAAGATAAATATGAATAACAGAAATACAGAGAGAGCAAGAGCTGGGTCAGGTACCTCTGGGTAGGTTAGACTTAGAAGTTTAAGTTAGAAAAAAAGTCATAAAGGAAGCACTGAAACAGAAGAAGAACAAATTTCTTCATACCTGATATAAAGCTGTTGCTCAGCACAGCAGCCATCCCCCAGAGAGTTCTTCTCTCTTTCCATGCATTAGACATTACAAATGTGAACTAGTGAAGGGTAGCAAGGCAGCTGTGCTTTTCATGAGGTTGAGGCAAAGCCTATTCAAAGATGGAGCAGCTACACGGTGTTTACACCTCTCAAAAGTTCAACAAACAGAGTTTGCTTGTGATTTGTATCTGTCTTTTGCTGACAGCACTCCTCCATTAACAAGGGCGTCCCTCCCTGGAGCAGGGGAGGACTGAGCCATGGGATGCTGTGAAGAGCTGGGAGTATGCCTGCCCTTCAGCCAAGGGTGTGTTTGTAGCCTGTGCAGACATTCCCTGGTGAACTTTCAGCCAGCTAGATGAAGGTATGGATAGCAGTTTAGCCACCACAGCCTGGAGCACAGAAGAGGCACCCAGTGGGATTTCCCCTCTTCCCCGGCCGGTTTTGCATCCTGCTGTGAGCTCCAGGTCTGCTGCAGCAAGTAGACAATTAAATCATCTAATTTAAGGGCAACTAAAGAATAACCTGAGGAGAAGAAGCAGTGCTGTGGCTGGTGAGAAGGATGGCTCTGGATCTGGCTCTGTGGTGCTGTCCCCATCACTCTGCTAGCCCAGCTTTGTCTTGCGCTCTGAATCTGAGACTCTGTGCATGGGATTTTGCTTTTATTTTCCTTAAATTCTATCAATCCACCTTAGCATTAGTGTGATGTTTCAAGCATTCTGCTATTTCACAGAAATTTCTGATGCCAGTAGCCATTTTAATGTTCTTTATTTAAAAAAAAAAGTTTTTAGTTTAGTAATTACTTGATAATTAATTTAATCATGTGTGCTAAGTGATTGGATTGCCATGTAGCTGCTATGCCATAAGTTCTTTATAAAATTTAAGTTAGATCCTTGTTTGCAATATTTTATAAACTGTCCCAATTTTCATTTTTCTCTGTAGTTGTCAAGAAAACAAGATCCTCTGTGTATGGATTAGTTAGAGGGAATGTAGAGATCTGCATATAGAATAATCTTGAAAATAATGACCTTCACTGGGAATTATGTTATTCTGAGGATTGTGCCATACTGAAACTTCTAATGGTGTGAAGCTTTCATGTCTGAAGTAGCTGGTGAAACAATACTGTATTTGAAGTAAAGGCTATGAATTACCTTAATTTATCTCCAGTTTCAACTTTGTAAATTGATCAATTTAATTGGAGATTATTTAGGGCATATCCTCACAAACCTTCTCTGATCTGAGTAGTCCTATTGATTTGCAGCTTTCTTTTGTGTTAAAAGCCTGAAATATCTTCCTTTGGTGTTTTGTTACATTTTTCCAAATGAAGACTTTTTGTTTGTTTGTTTGTTTGAGGTGTTTCCTTTTAGGTTTTTTTCTGGCTAATAGTGACACTAATATGGGCCTATCTGCAAGTCTAAGTTCTTTTCAGATTACTGAAGGAATTTACTGTCTCACCTGAAAGGATTTCAGCTTGAACAACAGGAGTTGTTCAGCATTGTCAGGAAATCCTTCTTGTGTGAGCACGCATGCAAGCAATGCATGAGTTAAAGAAGGTGCTGTTTTGTTAGTTTTAGTCATCTGTACTGGCCTTTTTTTTCTCTTTATGTGCTGTGAAGTCCAAATATAGATCCCTCAGTGCATCATGGGGAGGAGTTCCAATAAATAAACTCCACTTGGTCTGCATATCCTATCATAAAAGTACCGAGAAATTATGCTTAATCCATTCATTTACCAAGTTCTGTGTCATTTATATGTTCTTTTCCATCACAAAAACAGAGACTAGGAATCAGTGATTCAGGGTTTCTGTGCGATGAATATGAGACTATTACTTTGGAAGAAAGACTCATACTTCACATATTACTGAAAAAACCCATACATAGTGCTTGTAGAAAAACAGATTTAAAGTTCTAATCTGTATTGTTCATCCATTTCAGACATCAGTGTTGATCAATATTAGAAACAGATTTGACTAAACAAAATTTTAAGCTCTTCTTGCAAAGAGCTGACTCATTGCCACAATATTAATGTATTAGCTGCTTACCCAAAGGCGGCATAAATGTTTGAAATTTCAATCCATTATGCAGTATTTAATGTTGCTGATGTCTGAGGAGCTGATTATTCCATTACAAAAGTAATTTAAATAGTCATATGAATTTTATTTAATCCCCTTTTTAGACAGTGTTAGATTCTAAAAGAAGTGCAAACCCCAAACCCCGCACAGAACTGAGCTGGTGGTTCTACAACAGCTAACTGAGATAAAAGAAGAAACTGGAGTGTGTGTATTGATAACCTCTGTTCATAAATTAAACTAAAACAGAGGTGGCCAGACAGCAAGTCTGTGCACTGCTGTTGAAGGCAGTCTGCAATATAATCTCACCATACTTCTGAGATTTGAGCTCCAACACAGAAGTATTTAAATTGTTCTCAAACACTAGGCAGAAAAAATCATAAGAAAGCCGTGTAAGGAGCAGAGCTGAGGTGGTGCTGAAGGGAGAACTGATTCTTACCCAGAGCTGAGGAGAGAGACAGGGAATATAGGGAATGGGATGAGCACAGTGATACAGATGGTGAAAACATTTTCCTAGAAATTCATTATCTGAGTTGCTCTGGTATCCTATCGGCTGATTTCTCTTGCTTTGCTTTTGCTTTCACTAACAGCTTTGAGATAGCTTTAGAGTCCTCTGCAGTTAACAAGAGGGTTTTTTTTCTTTATTTGCTAGTCTTTGTGTCTGAGTCTAGGGGAGAGACTATAGGTACTTTTTGTGTTCTGCCTGCAGCATCTAACATGCTCTTGTATAAACCAGTTTGATTCAGTGCCTGAGGGCCAGTTCAGTCTTCCTGCCAAAAAGCCCCTTGAAGCCAGAGGTGGGTGACCTTTTCTGATGAATGGTTTGCTTTGAGAAAGATACAGGCCTGGTCTTCCCAAATGCACAGAGCTGAATTTGGTATGTAACAGTGATACATACAGTGACATACAGAAAATACTACCGAGGTTTTCCCTCCAGCATTTCCAAACCAAACAGCCTTAATTTTCTAATGCCAGACTGCTGAGAGTCTCTCAAGGGCAGTTTGTGGGCACTTGGCACCAGCTCTGCCAGGGAACAGAGCGGCTCATCCCTGCACTGTGCTGCAGACAGGCTGTGTAAGGATCCCACTCACCAGGCTCTAAGGCACATACTGCTTCTCCATTCTCCCGCGGTGCTGCGCTCCAAACGATCCCAGAAATCAGAGGTGAGGATGGCCAGACGCTCTCTCCAGTTAACTGCAGGTCGATAGAAAGTTATTTTCATGTAATCCTGAGCCTACAGAGGTTATTTTTGGTTTGATCCCTTGCTCGGAAGCTGTGCATCCGAGGCTGAGGCATATCCATTTCTTTTAGCAGGCTTTCAGCTCCTGCAAGGAGATGGATAGTAGTACCAGAAGCAAACCAGAAACATTAAATGAGGTCAAGGTGACCGTCCATAAGCGTTAGATAACACAATAATTTAAAATAATGCATGAAATAGTGCAAAGGATTTTAATTATAACCTACAGTACAGACACAGGATGACCCTTGTAGCGTGGGGTGTGCAAAACTGAATATCTCTGGCAGCTGTTTGAGGTTTGAGGAGGAGCAGCAGGTACACTGCCAAAGCAGCTTTCTCACTCTCATTTCAAAGAGGTGAAATCCCTACTGTCCTTGTATTAACCAGTGTGGGGTGGGTGGAGGAAGAAGCAAAAATGAGAAATAGATTGCTTTCACAAAGTAAGTGGGAAAAGACAAAGCTAAAAAATAATAGAGTTGCACATATATTTTTAAAACCTAATTGCAGTTAACAGACATCAACTGGAAAGACTGGATAAAAATAATTTTCTTTCTAAGGTCCATTTGTGGTCAATACTAAATAAGAAATTATTCAACCTAATGGTAGGAGAGAACAGTAATTTGTATTTAAGACATCACTTGTTTGGATATCAGAGATAGGAAACCAGGACTGTGAAGTATTATGCACTTGGTTGGTTTATGTTAACAACTGTGGAGTCTGATTCTGCAAACACTAAAACATGTGAGAATGGAACTATTCTCCTGGCCACAATATATATGAGTAGGGCAATATAGATTTAACACGCTATCTCTGTTTTTAAACTTTTGTTTTAAACTGCAAAAATATACGGAGAAAATACATACATACCTTGGAGCAGAAATGCTGGTTGTGTTTTGTTGCAATAAAAAGTTATTTTGTCCTTTTATATGTGTAGCTTAATGAGCATTCTTTAAAAAAAAAAATCAAAATCTTGTTGTCAGAGATAGTTCTTAACTTTGCTTGTTAAAATTTATTCAGAAACCCTTGTGACACATAAAATAGAACACATGAAAGAAAGAAGTCGGTCTTTTTCTTTTTTTTCCCTCCCTCCCTCTTTTTTTTTTTTTCTTTTCAGAGAAGTAACATAAAATATGTGTGTGGTGTAAGAACGTGTGCTGAAGTTTCATGTTTCAGGTAATCTTCTTTAAAATAATGGGAGTCTAGATTGCATCAGTTAGTTTAAAAACTGCTGTGCTATTGGTAGGAAGAAAATGGGATTTGAGCCAAAATTTGCCTGTGTTACTGCCAAAGTCTGTATCAGATTTAAGACACATGCTTCTGCAAGCTTCCATGAAGGTTGTGAAAAAAGTTTTCATACAGAGTTGGATTACAGCTCTCGGCTCAAAACACTGGCCATTACACTACCATCTTAAAAGCCTGCTGTAACACAGAGCACAGAATCGAGAAGACTTCTAACATTTTCTGGACCACAGATGGATTTTGAATGTCTCTTTGTGTCTTGATGGAAGATATATTAACTTCATTAACTGGAATCCATACCTGATCGCTTGTGAGTGTGTATGTGTATACATACAGATATATATCTATTTAAAACCTTATCATGATTTTATTTCAAGTGTATCTAAAATCTGCTCTAAGAAATTCCATTCTCTAGAGGAACTTACAGTTGTTTTGAGCAGCAAAGAGACAGATATTTAGTTGCAGATGCTGGAATCCTTTGTGAGTTTGTGAGAGAAATTCTGGAAGCTTTTCTGTGTTGGTGGTAGAGAAATGCCTTTTGAAACAGACACTTCCAGCTGTATGACAACGACTGCGTAGTAACCTGTGGATTTTAAACATCAGAATGTACAAACCGTGGGCAACTGTGAATATTTTCATCGTTTCTTATCTACATCTGCTGCAAGGATCTGACTATGAGAACGGATCTGTGAAGGTAAGTGAACTTTACTGTGATTCTTAATATAAATTTCCAGAATTAGCTATGTTTAATGTGCAAGGTAGGGAGTTTCTTGCTGTTTTGATAATGGGTTATTTTTTTTCTTTGGTGATTGTTTAGTTGCAGAGATAAATCTACAAGGAATTTAAATCCATATTCTCTGTTTAATATTTGTATTACTTTTTTTTACTAAGTTAATAAGTACACGTATACTTTGTTCTTGAATTAAAATTTTAGTTTTATAAAAACACATGTTCATCAGTTGTTCACTTGTTTTCCAGAAATCAGAGAGATACTTTTCTTTTTCTTCATTAGAAAAAGTTATATATGATTTTAAATTAAAAAACAATTAATAATAGAGTACATTGCTTAAAAATTAACTTTTCCTCTGAATATAGTACATGAAATAAAATTTAAGCTGAAGCCTCACCATGAGAGTAGAATTTTTCAGATCTGACTTTGAGACAATGTGAGAACATCCAGGACAATCATTTAGAAAAATCAGAACAAAAGCTGGAACAAGTTTCTACATGTGCAGTCTGTCCAAAAATGATTAATTCAGTGTGTGGTCCAGAACAAATTATTTGTTTTTCACTGGCAAAACAAGCTAATACTTTTGTTTTCACTTCAGAAAACCTCCTGCTTGCAAGACATGACCACACACTAGTCTGTGAGCCTGTTGTATGCTGACCTGTTCTTTAGAGAAGAAATGCTAAGTTGTGTGCCTAATTGCAGACTGCTGTTGCCAGCCCAATAAGTCAGCAGTGGGGAGCAATGTGTGCCTCAGGATGACTGATGCCTGCTGACTGCTCACAAGCTTTTAATTTACAACCTCAGAAATCAATTCTTTGAAGGCATTAGGACCAGAGTAATAAGCCTTGTTTAATACATTAACTTTGTGCACTGAATGACAAATCACTGATTTTGTGCTTGTAGGAATCACTTTATTTAAACCAGAACGTGCTTTCTAATACAGAATAAAAACCATTTTATAATTGGCAGGGGTGATAATTCTAGCCACATGTGGGACACTAGTTTATTCAGCACCATAGTGAAACCACTAGAAAGCCCTTTAATTATAAACTTTGAATCCATATCCACTTTGCCTAGAGTAAATACAAGAGCTCTTCTTGCTGTCTTATACTGGCTTACAGTTCATTCACTGTGATAGGATTGTGCGCCTGACATAGGTAGAATTGTGATTATTTTCACTGAAATATGGTGTCAGGCACAACCACTGTCAAGCAGCCAGCTTAGCCACAGGATACTGCTCTTGAAACAACTCACTGAGAATTTCCTAGACTATCCTAAAGGAATCTCATAGGTCACACTCAAAAAGGTATCACACACAAATGCTTTATTTCACTTGCATTGGCTGCTGATTGCCAAAAGGAAAAGACTGGCTTTCTGCTTGTTCTAGATCTTTTGGTATAGACAGAGGTTTTTGGCTAAATTGTTTGCTTTTCTTTTAATATGTTACATAGAATGTTAACTTTCTGGGTTGCTTTCTCCGGGTGTCTGTGTGTGTACGTATGTGGAAATACACCACATAACATCCTTCATCTTACAGTGCTGGATGGCACACAGGGTTATGATTATTTTTACCATTTGCACCTCAAATTGAATTTGCAGTACACAGAGACGATGTATTGCATTCACCTACCCTACCTTATTTTTCTAAAGTTCTTTAAGATCAACAGCAGCATAGCCTGGATAAAACCCACAAGGCCAGGATACAGGTAACACACAACTAATGAGACCTAGGAAGCACCAGCAACCTGCTCTGCCCCAAGTTAGGTGAGCTCTGCCCAGGACACCTGAAATTTTAAAATTATTTATGCTCTAAACCATCAGGTGGTGTCAGTGTGGTATCATGCAATGGAGTTTCAGGGGGCTAAGGGTTTTAACTCTCTTTTTCCCCTTCAAATATCCTGATTCAAGGTATGAATGTTAAAAAGCTTATGCACAATCTGCCATGATCCAGCATGTCCATGGCAGTTGGGTTTTCCAAACCCTTCAAAAACTCCATGCTCTTCTGAGCACATGAATCCCTTTTCCATGTGCATGTATTCCTTGCCTGTCAGAGCTCTTCCTTCCTCTCTCCATTCCTGACCTGTTCTACTCCCAGCACTTGACCTGTGTTCCCTCGCTTCCAGAACTCAGGGACTCAGTCTCTTGTTTGTGCTATCCAAGTGTCACCCTCCTTCCCACTTGCTTCCTCCCAGATGGGGACATTCTTCTTCTCTCTTGGACCCTCAGGAGTTTTGGCCAAATTGCCCAGAGACAGCCTTAATGGGCACATTTGTTTTCCAGTCATATCTGACCATGGTTCACCCTTCCCTTCCCCATCCATAGCTCCCTTCTTTGTCCCTGTGGTTTTAACTGCCCCAGCTTTCCTTTTCCAGACCCATTTCTCCTTCTGATCTCCAAAGATGATCTCAGCCTCCTTGGCCAGGTCTGGCCCTCCTCCATAAGTATTCATCTCCTTCCCCTGCCACAGGCAAATCCAGCAGCTTCCTGTCCCTGGATGCCAGACCCCTGTGGCCTGAGGGGAAGAAGGGCAGGTCCAGTGCTCTCAGCCCTACAGGGCAGACCTGCACCCATGTCCTGCTCGGTTCCCAAGTGGACTGGAACCAGCACAGGGCCTGACTGCTGCAAAGGTCCTCCTGCTGGGAGGGCTATGCTGCTGCTCTTGGAGGCTTTCACGTTTGGGGGGATTTTATCAAAGATAGCAGCAGACACATCTGAGCTAAAGAAAAGGTTCCTCAGGCATCAAAAATTCACATCTGTGATTCACAGCAGAGAAAAATAAAATTTTTTTGCACGGATAAATGAGGGGCTTCATCCTCCCCTGCGGTCAAACCATTTTGACAAAGCAAAAAAAGTATTAAAATAATTTTGAGGCAGACATCTGGTATGGAAAGTTTCAGCCTGAACTCTGAATATCTGGCAATCAGAAGCACAACTGGAGCCCAGGGTCATGGTGGGAAGCAGTGGGCAGCCCCAGGCAGGGGCAGCACAGCCACACAGGTGTCCAACAGGGCTTGGCTCCAGAGATGAACTGATGTCAAGGCTGGTCCTTGCCCTCCAGTGGCTCGGTTAAGGATGCCAACCTAACATATGAAGTCCTCGAGGAAGAATTAGATTTCCACATGAGTTTTCTGAAGACTGAGAATTATTTTTTTAAGGTTTTTTTTTTTTTTCATCGCAAAATACTTTAAAAATTCCTTATTGAAGTTCTTTTCCTGACAGTCTCTTAGGTTTTGGATCCTCTCAGCTAGAGAACCGCAAATTTCCCTGTCTCTCTTTTTGTCTCTCCCCCTCAAATTTTTCTTCTCCTTGAGCAGCAACAGACATAAACTACTTTTTCCGGAATTTTAAAATTAGATGTGAAGAGCTATGTCCTGTATTCATCAGAGCTGAGGCAAACTTTTTGCCAAGAAAAGCCAATGATCCATCAGAGCTGCTTCTGCCTTCCAACACTAAAACTGCCTCTCTAATGAGGCTGCGAGTTTTGATCTCGGAGAATGAAAATCTCATTGCTTTCCTCCTCAATTCTGCTGCTTCACATTATTAATAAAGCGTTGGGGGACAGGCAAGACAAAGAAACAACTGGTCACTTCCAAGTTAAACAGACTCAGAGCCTTTTCCTAATGCAGAGGTTTTCTGCCCATGGCAAACCCTCCTTTGGTTTTGTTAGAGAGAAACCCACAGTGGATAGGCCTGAGGAGTGTCCCTGAACTATAAAGCTGCTTCTTGAGGGGTTAGGTGGGCTTAGCTGGGAGGTGAACGTGGCTGCTCTCTGTTACTGCACTCCTTTTCCACAGCTAAATCTGTTCTACCTCTGCACTAAACATTCTTTAAACCTCGAGTGGTCGTTCTTGCTCAAGCAGATCTTCCTCATCTCCTACTGCCACTGTGATCTGCACAGAGCAGTAAGCCACTTTCCAAACACAGCTGGTACACAGTCCTTGTCTGCTGGTGAGAGTGAAGCAGCACTTCCCCATCCTCCTGAGGCCCTGGACCACCTAAGTGGAGAATGCCTTGCCCTTGGAGAGCCATCACTCCATGGGCAGAAGAAATCAGGAAGTTTTTACATCTCCTTTCCAAGAGCCAGCTGCAGTCTGTCTGTCTGTACAGCTGAAACAGAGCTTGGTGAGGAAACATCAGCAGCAGAGCTGGCTGTAAGCCTTTGTCTCTGTAATTATAACTGGCACTCTTTTTCAGATAGATCTACACACCTCTCTAAAACCTGCTTGGAAATGTTGCTCAGTTTCTAGAAAAGTTAGATTCTAACAATCTTCCATGTCATGGGATTTCTTCCTCAAAGGCAACTCCTGAAGTTCCAGCAAAGTGCTCAACTGCTAGAAAAAGCAACTTGAAATGTCACTGGGAACACTTTCTCTGTTCAAACTAGGTTTTCATCCTCAAATCCAGCTTCCTTTCAAAGTTAGGAAACTCTTCTAAACAAATCTTATGAGATTGTGGTTTTCAGAAGTATTTAATTTTCCCAGTTTTGTCTTCTGCTTTTGATTCTCTGTGATTACCATCTCTGATAGGCACGAAGAGCCAAAAATGTGTGAAAATATACTTAGAGCATTACTGCAGAAATGATTGTGTTTTTTCTTCAGAAGTGAGAAGCTATCAGGGAAGTTCTAAGGAAAGCCAATTTGTCCTGACTTATCTGCTACTGTCTTGACAAGGTGCACTGAAGGCAAACAGAACAATCCTGTATTGTTATCATGCCACACAGCATCCGTCCTTGGCTCTTATCAGTTTGGAAAGGCAACTACTAACAAGCTGCTACTTTATCAATAACAGTTCTCACTCATGAGAAATGGAAAAAAAATCCCTCCCAGCTGCTGATCCAGCCCAGTCCATCTCAGCTAGGATTTTAATATCTGAGGATAGAGCAGAGCCTGGAAAAGTACACCAGGCTGTGTAGATTAACCAATGCAGAATTTGAGCAATCCAATTATCAGCTGTTTGAAATAAAG